TTGGACTCCTGCTGCCATGCTGCCTGCTAGTGCTGGGTGCTTCTTATCCTGCGAGGAAGGAGGAAAGGTCTCTTCGCAGCCAGCACTAATTCTGCTGTGGGTTGTGACATTACCTGTGTTTTTGTGTCTGAAGGGTCTTCACAGACACAGCACCTGGTGCAAACAACGAAGGGCACCATCTAGGCTGAAAGAGCCTGTTTTGTAATTTCAGACCAGGCTCAGCAAAGTAAGGCCCATTTAAATGAGAAAAAAAAAAAAAGAAAAAAGAAAAGAAAATTCCAGAACCCAGGCATTTTTCTTTCAAGTAGCTTAGGTTCAGTGCAGGTTCTGATGCACATAGCTGCTCTGGTTCCACCTTGCAGGCATAGGACTCTCAGGGAGACCAGCTCACTTGTCCCAGGCCAAAGGCAGGCAGTGATCGCAGTCGGTGTCTGACGCTTCTAGGTTCACCCAGGCCGATATGCCACTTCTCTCTATTTTCTAAGCTAATAAGATAGGACAGCTGGCAAACTTCTGGTCTCCTCGTTTATCCCCAAGAATGAAGTCTTCTGTTCTTTGCTTTAAAGAATTCGGGGTTATGGAGTAAGGATAAGAAATGTCTCAGCTTGCAAGCATTGCAGGCATTTTTGACTGTTACGCTGCCCCAGGCAAAGCTTATCTCATTCAGGCTCTCCACAGACACTTGGCTGTCAGTTCAGCCTGAAGACTTCTGGGAGGAAGAGGATCTCTTAACTCTGAACTTTTTTTTTTCAGGCATTAAAAAGTGAGTTAAGGAAGCATCTGGCTTACCGAAAATATGACAGGGTAAAGCCGACTGGGCTGCTGTGGGCGGCGGGCGGATGCTGGTCTCCTGCGCGTTGTGTGACAGCCGTCCTTGTGACCCGTCGGGTTGATTCTTGCTAAGCAAGAAGTGGTTCCCCATAGTGGTGTGAAGTCAAGGAGTTGTTCTGCTCCTGTGCCTTTCCTGAACAGCCTGTCTCAAGTGCCCCAGTTCCTGCCTGGCCGTTCCCTTTCTGCCGTGCCAGTATTTATCTTACTGGGTTACTTGGCAAAAGGGAGTCGCTATCCTGAGCTGACCAGGGCTGCGATGGGTGTGAGAGGGCACTGCCTGGGAAAGCAGGCT